CGCGGCTGTTTGCAAGGGATTGTTGCTCTGGGTGTATTTTAAAAGCCTTCACCAACCTCCCCCAGTGGAAGCAGCCAAGGAGCGAAGAGAAGGACGCTGGTTTGATTCTTTTATTTTAAATTAATTCTATTATTTAAGGCGTGGAGACACACAGGGGTCTGGGCCCTGCCGTGGAGTTTGAATCCCAAACGAGCTCACGCGCTCCGGTGCGACGCTGCCCGTCCTGCAGCTGGGGGGCGGGAACCAATTCATTTTCTCGGGGCCGCCGGAGACACGTTTCACGGGGTGACTGTCTTGGCTTTTCGGGGTCTGACAGGCAGCGGGCACCCCCGGTGCTGAGCCGGTGGCCGGTGTAATGTTTGTAAGTAATTTTGGGAGTTGTGTTGTAATATATCAGCTAGAATTTTGCTGCTTTTGGGGGTTGTTATTTTTGGTGTCCCGCCCCCTCGGCTCCCCCCAACCCTCCTCCAGCCTCGCCCTGCTCGGGCGCTTTGCTCCACCCCGGGGCTTTTTCCGTTGCTCTGTTTTCCTTCACCCCCCATGAAAATACGGGCCAGGAACAAACCCACGTGCCAATCCATGGCCCCCTGCAAGGCCGGCCCATGGCCTGCACCAGCCGCTGGCAGCTGGATTTTATCCCCGAGCCCAGCCCCATTCACCGCCACCCGGTGCGTCATGCAGCCAGTTACATGGGGGCGAGTGCTTTGCACCCATTTTGTGCCAGTGAATCCGGTGCGGAGCTGGAACGCTGAGGCCGGTTCTGGTAGGGTTACGATACATCCGGATTTTCCCAGACATGTCCAGCTTTTTGGTCCACAAATCCCCGTCCAGGAGGAATTTCCAAAAAGCCGGACATGTCCGGGAAAATAGGGAGGCATGGTAAGGGGACCGCCTCCTCCCCGGGCTCCAATTTTCCCGGCTCCCGCCACTCTCCACCATGGCGGGGGCCGAAGCAACTTCCCCAGCACAGCAGCAGCCGGGGGGCGGGAGGGAGGAGGAGGAATGCGGGGTGCTCAGGGGAGGGGGCGGAGTTGGGGCGGGGCCAGGTCCCGTGGAGTGTCCTCTTTTTGCAGTATTGCAATATGGTAACCCTAGGTTCTGGTCCCCCCGGGGCCGAGCGATGAGCCCCAAAGGACTGCTGGGCCGCGCGGGGGCTGGAGCTGACCTAGAGGGGCCGGAGGAGCTCGGCTGCCAGGGGCTCCATCGCTCTGTAGCCAAGGGGGGTAAACCCCTGGCGGGGGGACGAGCTGCCGCAGTTATAGGCCAAGGCCCAAGAACCAGTGGGGGGACCCGGCCAGGAGCAGGCCGAGGCCGGCACGTAGCCCGTTTCCAGCCCCCAGCGGAGGGAGGGGCTGGCGCAGCCGCCCGCCGACGCAGAGCGGGGCAGAGACGTTCCCGCGTGTGGAGCCGGAGCCAGACACGTCTGCGGC